TTCGTCTTAAATACTGTTTACTGTCAAAAATCTGAGGTTTCAAAGACTAGGGACAAACGAAATTTTTTAGTGCATCGACTTCGAACAACCCTTTATTACCTATCTTATTTATGAGTCCTGATCCAGTAAGCTAAAAATCAGATTACCTTTAGAGGAAGATGAAATTTTAGCTTAAGTGCAAACAAAATAAATCTTAACAACGCGAGGTAGATGGTAAAATAAAACAGTGACATCTTAAATATCATCGTACAAATATTACACTTTGCTTAATATATGTTTCATAAAACAAATAAAATAGGTATATTACTATTAAAGGACAGATAAGGGCAAACTGTAATAAAATTATAATTGTTCATTGTGTATTTATATAATATATACAATTTAAATAGACAAATATCTACTCAATAAAACACACTTAATATAAATTTTTATTTCCCGAAATCGCCGTGAAGTGACGTAGTAAGAGAAACATACTGTATTAATTGTAACTTTTGATTTTTTCTTAGCGCCACTATTATGTATTTAAATTAAACTCGATTTTCATAACGAAAGACAAAATTTAAAAGTAATCCATACTTATAAAAAACTTCTATAAATGGAAATCCGTCCAGTATTTTTGAGTGAATCTTGAATACATAGACAGACAAACAGACAAACAAAGATACAAAAATTCTAAAAAACACTAATTTGGTTTCATTACCCTTTGTGTAGTCCCCTGGACTTGTTTTTTCCACAAAATATTAGAATGCGTGTGAAAACAGTTCATATTGCTAACTATTCATTCAAAACTTAGGATGACTTAAAATATAAAAACTTTGAATGGCTCATAATAAGTTGAACTGTTTTTGTTTTAAAAAAGGGGTCTTCATGTACTACAAAACGACTCGTAAAAGAAAACGAAACGCTTTTAATATATAGAAACCAGACATTATTCATAAGCTCATAAGAGACAACTAAATGTCGAAAAAAATCTCAAATTCCCAAGCGAGGGTTGCAACGTGTATTTTTTTTAATTTAAAAAATTGACTATGTACACATCCGTCAGTCACCACTTATTACAATGAAAACAAGGACGGCAATTTGAAAAAAATATATACACACTAATTAAATTTCGTGTGACGTTTGCATTAATTAATATTACCTGAACGAAAAACGACCGGCTCGGCAAAATAAGTACTCTTGGGGGCAAAAAAAAAACGTCTCTCATATTTATACTTTCAGCAGTATTATTTAATTTTATGTTTACCACAAATACGTCAAGGACTACTAAAATTTCACATTTAAATAACTGAATAATGTGCACTGAACTGCAAGTATTATCAATGCCAACGTATCTTACGTCTTTACTTATCTATACAAATAAATAAAATTGAAGTCTCTGTTTGTTATGTTAAAATATCAGCTGTTTACTAAATGCATATGAAATTAAAACACAATTATTAAAATTTTTGTCTGTGTGTCGGTCTGTCTGTCTGTCTGTTTGTTCCGGCTAATCTCCGAAACGGCTGGACCGATTTTGACGGGACTTTCGCTGGTAGATAGCTGCTGCATAAGGAGTAACTTAGACTACTTTTGTTTTAGAAAAAAGAATTAGGGTTCCGCGCAAAAAAATTAAAACCCATGAAATCCAAGTTCCACGCAGGCGAAGTCGCGGGGAACAGCTAGTTTATAGAATAAGGGTGAGAAATAAGCACACAGTCCGCCTGATGGTAAGTGGATACCGTAGCCAGACATCTACATTTATCCTAGATTATGAATCAAAGTGCGATTCATAATCTAGGATAATGCGTTGTCACCCCTGAGGACTAAGATGGAATGGCTCGTTTCCAGTAAAAAGGGTGTCCGGTTCTCTACACTCACCATACGAAACACAGCAGCATTTAGCTGCTATTTTACGCTGGTGTACTGTGAGAGCGTCGTCCGGTCCAGCCAACCCATTCGTAATACACCAGTAATATAGCTGAAGCGTGGCTCTACTACGTATAAAGATTACTTACTTACCGGTACTTCTGTTTCCTCGGTTTGAAGCATATAGAGAGACTATATAATTACAACGAGGGTGACAACGCATTTATATTTAAATTCTTGATCGAGGATAGATGTAGGTGTCTATGGGCCACAGCATCCACTTACCATCAGGTACTGCATGCTCGTTTGTCCGAAAACCCGATTGGCAGTGAAATTAAGTAAGGGTAGGTCCTCAACTGATCGACCGCCAGGTACCTTTTGTAAATTAATGTAAGTTCTATGTTTCATTATAAAAGACGTAATATTTTCCATTCTTTATTTTTACGTGGTAGAGACAAGCTGCAGCTATATTAGTAGCATAGTTGTAGCACGAATGAGTCGGCTCGATCGGGGAAGGACCACGGTCTCACAGAATACCAGCGTAAAATAGCAGCTTAATACTGCTGTGTTTCGTATGGTGAGTGTAGAGAACCGGAGACTTTTTACTGGAAAAGATTCCATTTTAGTCCTCACGGGTGACAACGCATCTGCATTTTGATTCTTTATTGAGGATAGATGTGGATGTCTATGGGTCACAGCAACCACTTACCATCAGGTGGACTGTGTGCTCGTTTGTCACCCTATCGTATAAAAAAAATATTTATAAAATTCCGCTCCTGGACATGAGGCCCGTGTCCCGTTGTAAAGAGGAATTGCCTTAATCATTACGCTAGATAGGCGGATGAACATTACCTGGACCAGACGTCTTTGAAACTGCTGCCTGTGTATTTTACATTTGTAACGAAAAGAGATACGTAAAAGAGATGGTTACACTCCTATCTATAGAAAGATATAATTTTTTCTAGCATTTCCTTGAGTCGCCTCTCACGACACCCAAGGGAACGAAATGAGATAATGGATTCAATTACGTCGTCACCATATGCCTTCATGACATTATTTCACAGTTATAGAACGACCCAGCATATGCCGTAAAAAAGATTAGAAGTCTAACTAGTGTTGAAACAGCTAGACTAGTTTACTTTAGCTATTTCCATAGCATAATGTCGTATGGTATTTTGCTATGGGGACACGCAGCTGACACTGAAATTATATTTGTTTTACAGAAGAGGGCCATAAGAGCAATTTATGACTTAAAGCCTAAAGAGTCGCTGCGACAAAAATTTAAGGAAATTAATATATTAAATTTGGCCTCTCAATACATTTATGAAAATGTAATGTACGTACACAAAAATAAAAGTAGTTTTACAAAAATAAGTGATATTCATTCTGTAAATACTAGGAACAGAGACAAGCTAGTAGTACCAATTACTCGACTCCATCGAGTCAGTAATTCATTCTTGGGGCGATGTATACGCTTTTACAACAAAATTCCAGAAAATATACAAAATTTGACCTGCTCAAAGTTCAAAAACTTTATTAAACTAAGTTTGTATAAAAAGGGTTATTATAATATTAAAGAATTTATAGATGATAATAACCCCTGGAAATGAGGTGATCGCTACCAAGCTATTTCTAATTTGTTGTTGTTAATTTGTGTAACATACAAGATTGTAAACTGTTATTTTTTTTAAAAAGTCCCGCTGGGATTCTGGCTGGTTCTTCCCAGGACAGAGGTTTTTTTTTCGAACCAGTGGTAATGATACAAAAGAGTGACTTTCAATAAGTATTATTTATACTCTATATTGAATAAAAAAGTTTCTGTTTCTGTTTCTGTTACAATGTCGTATTGGAGTGTCTATAATACGGTACAATTTCCCAACTTCTTTTCATAGGATAAAGGAGACTACACGAACACACAGTCCATCTGATGGTAAGTAGATACTGTGGCCTATTAGCGTCTAAATCTATCCTCGATTAAGAATCAAAATACAAATTCGTTGTCATCCCTGAGGACTACGATGGAATGCCTCGTTTCCAGTAAAAGGGGTCCCCGATTCTCTACTACTTTTTACGCTGGTATTTTATGGAAGTGTGGCCCTTTCCCGGTTGAGTTAACCTATTCGTAGTACAACTTTGACATAGCTGCAGCAGCAGCTCTATCACATATTAACTTGAGATAAAGTTGCTCCAGCAGTGGAATCTTCATAGATACAAAACATTCCCATTTTTCATTTGACACATAATATCATAAAACTTTGGATATTTTAGTATATACACACCACTCACACAAACAAGCTTAACACATTTGCATGTTCCATGTACTAACGAAAAGCTTAATAATAAATAAGTATGATTTGGTTTCACATTAAGCGGGCTCTCGCCGACTCACATGTCCCTCGCGTTACTAATTTATCATTTTATCTTGTCACGTAAAGTAAGCTCTCGTCCGCGCTTCTTTCCGTCAAGCTTCATCCACTTACAAGCAGTATTACATAACCTATTATAAAACAGCAGCCTTTCAATTTGTTTTAAAACGGCCACAAAACGTTGCTCAGCCATGCTTTTGAATATTTTTTTTATTTTTAAAAACGTTGCTAACACACTAGAATTATCTGCTGTATCGTGGATGTTGTTTACATAAATAAATTGCATAAGGACAAACATCTAGACCTGGAACAATTATTTGTAATTGGCTTACAAATACTTGTTCCGTGCGGGAACGAATCCGCGGCCCCTAAGTACTGCAATTCAATATTACGGAGCAGTCGAAAAAATATAAGAATGACGTTACTTACAAATGAAAATATATAGATGTAATATATCATTGAGTTATTCAGCAAGTATTCTAATACACTTTCAATTAAGGGAAAATATATGAATACCTGATGATGAAAAGCCGAGCGAAACGATAGTCGTATAAAAGAATCGATTCAACATAACCTTGAACGTGCGTTTATCCAAATCCAAATTTACAAAATAAACCTAACATACTATATTTTTTATTTCTAAAGACCTAAATAGAAATATTTATGGAAGTTGCGTGAAAAACTGTGAACCCTCTCGCCTGCCGGTATCAGCTACTATACTAGCTCTAATTCCAAAAAAGGCCTCCAAATTCGACTCTGATGGCCACCGGCGGCTCCCGCAGCAGTAGTTGCGTGCCGTCCGCCATCGTGATCGCACGTGCCCTTTAAAAAATTATCTTCTAGTACACCCCGATATTAACAACTTTCGAAAAAAAGTTCGCGTGTGTCTGTACATAGTAACGTGCAGTGATAATTTGTTATTAAAAAAAAAAGTGTTTTCGTACAATGTAAAGTACAGTTGTGATGATATTTTTGGCGGGAAATACATTTCTAACACTGTTTGTCGCTAATGGAATCGTTGCAGAGGTAAATAATAAATATTGATGTTGGATGAGGGTCCGCAACGGATACGCTTGTCGACTGTTTTCGGACACTTCCACGACTCCGCTACTGTGACAACCACGTTTAAACAATAGTTTAAATTACAAAGTATTTTATTTTCTAAAACCAACATAATTAAAATTTTAGCTAAATTACCTCTTGAAAAGCGATGTTTTAATTATTTTTTTAATCCAAAACTCAGAGTAAATGACAAACAGAATTAAAAATAAAACATAAATTCAAGCAGCATCCACACTAATTACAACTTATTCACTAATTGATATCGTAAAGCAGTAAACATTTTTAATAAGAAATTAATTCAACAGTTACCTAAGCATTTCGTTCGCTAAATCGTGCGCTCCACCGGCGTGAAACACAAATATAAAAGGTCCTTTCATACTTTACGGTAAAAGTTCTAGACTTCCTTACGTAAGCTTTCAGTGTGCTAGTCCCCGCCCCCACTTATGTAACCGCTCGATTTGGTCCCAATTTTCTCATTTTATTCAATTTTCAAAACATCCCGCTTATAAGCCATCGTAAAGGGCCATTTATTAGAAACACAATAGGTTACGTTATCATCGTTTGAAACAATAAGGACATTTTTCATCGGAGCGCCACGTTTCGTTTATCATTTTCTTTGTGCTTTAAGCTTTTGCCAAGCACTAACATAGCATGTCGCATTTAGATAAAACTTTTTATAACGACCATACAATAAATAGGTCAGGGCAGGCGACCTTGAAAGTTTGCACTCAAAACCTGTGGCACGTTCCAATTCGATAAGCTCAATTCATTTGTGGATAAGGTTCCGCCAATCCATCGATTTATGTACCGTTGCACCAGATGCTCACTTATGAAATAATGGAATAACATATGGTTTCTTTTATGCTAAAGTGCTCAGTAACATAGACACATATCGCTTAACAGATACGAAGCGCTTTCAACTAATTTAGACACATTCCTCGCTACCGATTTCTGGTCCTCTGGGGTAATGTATCGCCGATAGAGAAACGCGCCAAAGAAGAATATTCCTTAAGCAATGTTAAGTTACGTTTATTTATATATATTTAGATTAAGTTATATATCACTATAGACTAATGTACTTAATTTTAAGTCTGTGGTGCCTGAAATAAAGATATTGTATTGTATTAACGTAAGACGCCGGAAGATAACTTCCACACGGGTAATTTCGGATCTTGATTACAATCGGGCGAAATTGCTTCACCAAAGATGGAATTATATTTTAGATTTACGACAGTACGTCGAAAGTTATCGATGGCAACATCCAGTAATATTACGATAATGAATATTACAAACACAGCAAAATAAATTTTATAAAATATTTATACGTGAACGGTATAAAAAAAGTGGCAGATGAAAATTTAAATTAACCTTTACCAAAAACCCAGGACAAAAATTGATCCCAGTGGCTTCGTAAAAAGAAAATGTAAATTCGTTTACCAAAAACCCAGGACAAAAATTGATCCCAGTGGCTTCGTAAAAAGAAAATGTAAATTCGACGGGCGATTAAAAATGATTTCACCATTTGTTATTAGGTTTGAAGGTATCGTTATGTCGGAGCAAAAGTACGTAGAGCGACCCAAAAGGCATTACACCAACGATAAACCGCGTATACAAAAATTTATACCGCCGATAAAAACTCGCATTCTAACGGTCCGGCTGGTAGAAAACCACGTAGGCGTATAGCGATACTCTTAAACGACAAGCCAGGCAACATCTGACAATAATCGATTCTGTACTCCATTAAAATTCCCAACCGTAATCATAGAGAAGAGACGGAGAAATCTGAATATTAATAAAAGTATCACAGAAGTAATAAGGGCATTAAAAATGGTGAAAGAAATAAATTATTGTATACATATCATTATTTACTGTTATTAATGTGGTGCAACCAATATATCAGATATAATATACATCATAATAAATTTTGAAAATTACTACCCATGCAGACTCACATTAGGTACCTTATTTTTTTATATACATCCAGTATTTATAAAATAAGGTACCTAACATGAATCGACATGGATAGTAATTTTTTTTTAATAAAACTGAAGAGACAAACGAACCTAAAGCTCATAGACACTTGCAAGCACCGTCAAACAAAGAAGACTGCAAATGCGTTGTCACCTCGCAGGACTAAGATGGAATGCCTAACAGCCTGCAACTACACTGGATCTCTATTCCCTCCAGATCGGAACACAACAGTGCACATACTGTCATTTGGCAGCAGAAATAGGTATCTAAGAGGGCGGTACATACCCACACAGATTCCTAGGCAGAGAAGGTACCTAGCTACTTTTAGTAGATAACCTATTATATCAAGGCTCATTGCTCGAGAAAATTAAAGATTGTTGGCACACTTGAAGAAAACGAAAATCTGCTAAGGTACAATAAAAAACATTACCACCAAATCGTTAAATAACATCAGCTTGAGCTTTTATGTTTATTTTTAAGTACCCTCGTCTTCATTCTTTGGTCACAAAAGTTCTGTGTGTAAAAGGTCGTCTGTAAGAAATCACTTTCAGGGCAATAAGACCGCCTAGTGGACCGACATGATATATTGTACTTTAATGTTTATTTCTGTACTATTGTATAAATATAGAATATATATCTTAATGATTTATATCAGTAAAAAAATAGAACGTAAATCATCTATATTCCAAAATATTTTAGACATGGGCACATCAAAACAGTACCGGCCTTCACATTTTTTCTAACAATTTCTAACAAATGTGTAAACTGCTGTGTTTATGAGTACTATGAAAATGAAAGGTAATAATCAACGCGATGAGGCTCGACGGGAGAATAATAGAACGTACCGCTCTCAAAATGAAACGAGCATTGTTGACGATTCGTTATGAAACACTTTCTAGTAAACCACGTTATGCCATTGACAGAACTAAATGTAATAAACAGACCTCTAATTTAAATAGACATTGCTTAGTACTGAGACATATCGTGATACTAAAATCTATCCACTATTAATTACATTTACAATTCCAATCCAATTTATATATTGTATGTAAAAGAAAACTAAATTAAAAAAATCCAAAGTAAAGGAGATGCCCATAATCGTCGTCATAATCGTCCAAATGGCCTTATTTATAAGTTTTCTAGGCATTAATATAATATATTTGATAGTCTTTTTTTTTTTCGGAAAATATATTCACTTTCTACAACTCCAGTATTTTAAATTTATGTGACATTGAATGTTTGTAATTAAGACCAACGGCGTACATTCGTATTGGATTCATTTGGGCTGAAACTCGAAATGATCAATGTCTATAAATACAATGAATATTTTTTAAAGTAAACAGAAATATAGTCATGGAAACTTCCAGTTTCTTCTAATACTAACAGCGTGAACGATTTTCTTTGTTGTTATTTTCGAGGCCTTTGTAAAGTTAACAAGTTTATCTATTTATCTTGCGAAGGTTATATTTTATATTGTAACTTTAGCACTTTAGTAACATAATGCCTTACATTTGGTTGTTTCAGTCAGACTTTTCTAAAATTACGACTCTATAAATTTAGGAAAGGTGTAATACAGAATATTTTAAGATGTAGTAGGTATAGAAAAATCCAATCTCTATGTCAATGTTCCGTCATTTTTCTAATGGTAAAATAATTTACTATATAGATTGCCTTTAGTACAGTGTACTGCTAACTTAATTAATTTAATAGGAGATAAGTGAATTCACGAAAGCTTAACGTAATGGACAATATAACTATTTTGAGATAACCTAAACAAAGGTCAGCGTCCCTACGCATACTCTGTCAAAATAATCCCAAAAACTTTCCACTTATCTGTTACAATAAGCGGGTGAAACAAACATTTAAATAAAGCATCGACATAGGAAATCATTTAAACCTTTTTAGGTGACAATATTAAAGTTGCATAGTGGGTTCGGATGCTCAGTGAATAGGGCATATTCTTTCGACATACTAGACTGAATTCCAAAGTTCTTTTTATATAGCAATCAAGATTGGCATACGAACAAAGCCAACCCTGATAGGTTGTTAAGTTGACACTATGATCAATATTCCATCCATTTCAGCCTATAAAAGTCCACTGCTGAACATAGGATTCCAAGCAATTCCTGTTAGGCAACATTTTGTCATATTTGCAGCGCTTGGCGGGCGAAGATGCTGCTACCCATGTATCATTTTCCCTCTGTCGCCTTTTACGATACTCACGGGATCAAATGGGGTGATTGACATACGGCATCTAGACCAAGCAGTCATCAAACCCACGTTTTAATACAATAGATACACAAAAATCACAGAAACCTGTTTTTATATCTTTATGAAACATTTTCGTGGCGCAGTGACTTGGCAATCAGTTGCGGCGCTTACAGCCGCGGATTCGAATCCCGCAAGGAACATAATTTTTCCAGGTCTGGATGTTTGTCTTTGTTAAATTTGTGCTTGTAAACTGCCTTCACGATACAGGTAAAAAAACTTGGATTAAGATTTTTTTTTTTAAGAAATGAGAAACTAAAATATATCTTGATTGTGGAGGCTTTTACAAACACAAATTGCACACGGACAAACACCCAGACAGAAGACAAAAGATCCAGGATAAATACTGCGTCACCGAGCTTCTAGTAATAACACTTCCAAGCGCCGCAGTGAAAACAATTATCGCGAGCCGCTTCTTTGAACGAATAAACACCGAGTGATTAAATTCTAACAAAAACTTGAGAAAAACTAAATATGTACACGAAACTCGCGTATCCCAAGCCGCACGCGGGCTTAAATTTAACTAGAACGAAGATAAAACCTTGGATACACAGTAGATTCATTCCCTGAAGTACGTCAACATTAATCTACTACTTAAGTACAATACACATACTTTATACTTAAACTGCTTATGAACAAGCTTTTATGTGAGGATTATCTGCGTTGTAGGATACTACGTTAGGAAAATTACGACAGACTTACAAACAAAAAATTTAAAAACTATA